CCATGCAGTACCTCCATGGACCCCCTAGGGGTCGCGGACCCCCTGTTGAAGACCTCCGATCTAGAGTCTCATGAGCTTCTGAGCATCTAAGGCGCTGATCAGGGAGTCAGACAAAGAAGAACTGCATTCCTCCTCTTCCTCATCAACCCCTCCTTTACCCCACAGGTGTGACCAGAGCTGTTGATCTGTGTGCAGCACCAGGCAGCTGGAGTCAGGTTCTCAGCCGCAAACTCAGGTCTCCCTTCCTTAATGTCCTTCATTTTTATCAGACTCTTAGATTCGGGAGAAAAATTCAAACTCTCCTGGTTTTCTCCTCACAGAGGCGGGGAAGGGGGGGAGGAGAAGTCTGACGGGAGGGAGAAGGTGAAGATTGTCGCGGTGGACCTGCAAGCCATGGCTCCTCTGCCAGGAGTCACTCAGATCCAGGGAGACATCACCAAGGTAACAACCCCCCCACCTACCAGCTATGACTCCTCTTCCCCGCTTCATGTCGTTCTCCTCCTAGGTGTCCACAGCCCAGGAGATCATCCGTCACTTCCAGGGCCAGCCGGCCGACCTGGTGGTGTGTGACGGAGCTCCAGACGGTGAGGTCCCATCTCTCTGCTCTCCCCGCTCAGATCAATTGTTCCTGATGGAGAAGTGGTCTGTTCATCATTGCCTTGTTGTTGTTTTGTTTCCATAGTAACCGGTCTCCATGATGTGGACGAGTACATCCAGGCTCAGCTCCTGTTGGCGGTGAGTATGGACATGTCCACCCTGCAGTGTGTGGTTGTAAGGTCCCACTGACGGCTGTCTGTCTTCCAGGCTCTGAACATCACCACACACGTCCTGAAACCTGGAGGAACCTTTGTGGCCAAGGTTGTGCTTTTCTGTTGGTTTCTCCTGAGGCCGTTCAGTCAGATCAGACAGTTTTACAGATTGGTTTCTTGGCACTAGTGGTGTTTACGTCAGTTAAGGCCCTCATCTGTCGCATCAACGACCACGCCTCTGTAGACCGCTCAGCCCCTGCACCGCCGCTCATCCCCTGCAGCACCAAAGAACCACAGGTCATAGATTGGTAAAACATTTCTAAGGAAAACCAGCTGCTTGCATCCAGACAATGACTCGCAGGATGAGCAGGTAGAGAAACTCTTTTTTAATCGTTACGCTGAGCACGCCTGCAGCAGCTGTGACGAAGAAACCTCCAGCAGGACCCGGCCCAGTGCGAGCGGCAACCTTCACACCGTCTCAGGCCCATTTACTGATTTAGAGCGAAATAGAGAAATAAATTCTGATGTAGAGCAGACGGTGGCTACCAGCAGAGCTCTGAGGCTAACTGCAGCCTCTGCTAATGTTAGCCTGTCGCCAGCAGCCCTCTCAGCTTAGTTAGTGAAGTACCGTTGGCTCTGATGGCGACTTTCTTTATGTTTATTATTAATTATTTATTACTATCTAGGGACTAATGCAGGTCCAGACGAGCAGGGCGTGTGGTGATGTCACACCGTTGGCGTTCCGTTCCCGCTGAGACTGACTTGTTCTGCGTTGTCTAAAGCCTACGTGGCGTTCTTGTGAGTCAGCCTCTCAGGGGAGGGGCATCAGGAAGCGAGGAGGAGCAGAATCAGCGCAATGTTTCCTTTTGCGTGATATAAATAAAAAAATTATATTGCCCACATTTTGCCAGATGCTACAATCAGCCGATTGTCCGACACATCGACCTGCCGATTTATCGGCCGGACTTTAGTGAGAACAGCATCCAGAGATGTGGAACCACCTCTGGTCAGCGTGTTTCCAAGCCTGCATGCCTTCCTGTTACCAGGAAAAGCTAAAGGAACCGCTGCTGAGCTGGATGCTGAACCTTTCATCAATATCTGGAAAATTTGAGAACGTTTCTGAGCTCATTTCTTTTCTGGTTAATTTTCATCTGAATGTATTTTTTTTCTCTAACTGAATGACATATGATGGAAGGTTTGACATGGAGACATGTTAGAAAACAAAGTCCATCCCAGCCTCCCCCTCCTGCTGACCTCCTATCTGTGGTTGTTCCTGGTGTCTCAGATCTTCAGAGGGAAAGACGTCACGTTGCTGTACTCTGAGCTGAAGATCTTCTTCAGCAGCGTGACCTGCTCCAAGCCTCGCAGCAGCAGGAACTCCAGCATCGGTGAGTCCGAAAAACAGCCGCAGACATTAAAGCTGTGGTCAAACCGTGGCTGTTGGAGGTAAGTGAAGCTGGAACATCTTAAACCTTTGCTAATAAAGCGTTTTTTGTTTTTTTTTGTGCAGAGGCCTTCGTGGTTTGCCAGAAATATTCTCCTCCCGAGGGTTACGTCCCAAACATGTCCAACCCTCTCCTGGACCACTCCTACGGTAACTATGACGACTGGGAGGAGCAGAAATGTTTGACCCTGGTATGGTACGGCAGGGGGTCCAACCTGAATTGGTGCATCTGGCATCTCTAGGTCTGGGCTCTTCTGCAGGTTCTGTGGGCTCTGGATCTACATCTGACCATTCTGTTTGGTTTCTGCCTGCAGATGTGGACTTCAACCAGCTAGAAGGTCCAAACCGTGTCATTGTTCCCTTCTTAGCATGTGGAGACCTCAGCGCCTTTGATTCAGACAGAACCTACCCCCTGCAGGTGAGCAGCAGCTGGATGCAGACTTCTAAAACCCAGAAGGAAACCTGTGAACCGAGGGAATCCTGCGGGATGACGGTTAACTTTAATAATGATCACAGGATTAAAACTGTTTTATTTCATATGTATGAAAAGGATTAATCAGTAGTTTTTGTCAAAAGTAACATGAGACCATAAACGCAGCCCGTCGGTTGAAATCTCCATGCTTTGAGCCAAGGGTGCTTCCCTTTTGCACGGCCTTCCAAACTGAATATTAGATTTGATCCACAGCTTTAATGGAACTAAACTGGTTCAGAAAGGAAACGGAAAAAAACGTTTTTAATGAGTGGACAGCAGTAGGTATTAAATGAAGATGGAAGACGGAGGAAGAGATGGTGAATGATGGCCAGAAAAATCAGAGGAAAGAAAGTGATTAGCAGGAAAATTCATAGACAAGATTGTAAAGAAATATTAGAATTACAAAATAATGAAGAAAAAGGTCAGATAAGTCCCAAAGTCCAGAGAAATAAAAAAAAGAAAGGCTTTTAAAAGCTTTTAATTGTCGGTTTTAGTTTAAGGAAACCGTTTTTCCTTAAATCGTCAGCATTGGTTACATCCCTCCATCACCACCATATTTGCAGTGGCACAGATATGGTCACATGTGATATCCAAAATATGAAGAAGATGATAAGGTTGGAGATTATAGGAAGAAATGAAAGGAGGGAAGCAGAGAGCCATATGTGGAGGCTGTTAGGCAAATTAAATCCAACAGATTACAATAAATAAAAACATGACTAATGCTGAAAAAAACAAGTGATGCAGATGAGAAAAATAAACCAGATTCAGAGGAAAGCATCATGTCTGTTAAAGAACTGATTGGTTGCGTATGTCTTTAATCACACTTTAAACGTAAAACTGAAACCATTGAAAGAGAGGATGGGAAAAGTTGTTTGGTTCAATTCAGTTTATTTCTATAGCGCCAAATTCACATCATGTCATCTCAGGTCACTTTCCAGTTCACCAGATCATTCAGTCAGATTGATTCAAGGTTTTCTACTTAAGGAAAACCA